TTTCCTTTGGAAGAAAGTTGACATGTTCTTTCCATTCCTAGTTCCAGCTGGAGTTTTTCGATAGTGAGCACTCAGCGTTTGCAGATAGCACTCACACTAAAGCAGGTGCCTTTCTGCCAGACAGGAGGAGCCTCCATTGCTGGCCCCAGGAGGGAGAAGGCGGTGAGCGAGCACCAGCTCTGCCCCAGCATTTACCAAATCCCTTCGTTAAGGGGTTAGATGTGGGCGCTTCAAAGCAAACGTGATGCTCTTAAATTAATTAAAATTATTTCAAAACTAACAAAGTAGTTCATGTAATTACTTTAATTCATTTCGTTGATGAAAAGTTAACATTCCTAAGACAAAATTATGAATAGTACATGTTTTCCATTCTGGCATAAGGTGATCTTGCCTAATTTTCTGGAGTTTTGCTTTGACTCCATTTGTCTGCTGAAAAGCAGGCAGGCCTACTTCACACTCTGGATGCTAGTGTTGTTCATCGGGCCATGTGAGAGGATGTGTGATGTCTCGTGACACAAGTTGAATTGGGGTTTCACACTGGGATAAAGGTCTGGATGGCGGAGAAAAACAGGCCAATTGCAGAGACATGGGAGAATCTGTAGGATTATATTGTACTGACACGGAGCTGTGAGTGGAAATCTTTCTCTTAATGCTTTCGTGTCCTCAGTCATATTATTAGGATGATTCACTTAAGTGGGGGGAAATCCATTATGTAAAAGTGCATCTTAAAAAATAGATAACCTCAAGTAGGAATTATTTTCATTACAGAGGAATTCAGCAGGGTTCCTTTAAAACCCATCTCCCTTACTGCATGTAAGGGTATTATTTACAGATGATTAGCTATTTGGCTAGGCAGAAGGGCAATTTAAGTTTAAAACACCTAAGGCCAGTTAAAGATCCATGGGGGGAGAAAAAAAAAAAAAAACACAAACCCAGGAATAATCATGGAAGTCAGTAAACACATAGGATTTGATTTACAAAGGTGTAATTTATACACACCTTTCTTCAGGAGTACAACTATTAGAGAACCATGAGAAACACATACATTTTCAAGCTAAAAAGCAGGTATATCCTGCAAGATTGCTGAGAAGTAAGGGATCCTCAGCTTTTGGGTAGAAAGCTAGATTCTTAGCCAAAGAGGCCAAACCATTCAGGCCTCAGAGACAAGAGAGGTGGCTTTCAGCCATGTGTATGTCACACTCAGAGAGGAGATGAACCTCGGTGGCCATGTGTGTGCCCCAGTGTGTGTGTGTGTGTGGTGTATGTGTATGATAGAAAAGAGAGAGCGAGACCAAGCAAAAATGACCCTCCAAGTGATGGCAGGATTGTTTCTAGAACATATGACTTTGTACTGGAACACGTACCTTAATCTGGAAGAGAAAACCTACAAAGAAGCCAGCTAACCCTACAACCCAACGATTGCATTACTAGGTGTTAATGCCAAAGATACAGATGTAGTGAAAAGAAGGGGCACATGCACCCTAATGTTCATAGCAGCCATGGCCACAAGAGCCAAACTGTGGAAAGAGCCGAGATGCCCTTCAACAGATGAATGGATGAAGATGTGGTCCATATATACAATGGAATGTTACTCAGCTATCAGAAAGGATGATTACCCAACTTTTGCATCGACATGGATGGAACTGGAGGGGATTATGCTGAGTGAAATAAGTCAAGCAGAGACAATTATCATATGGTTTCACTCATGTGGGACCTAAGGGAGGAAGACCACAGGAGAAGGGAGGGAAAACTGAGTGGGAAGAAATCAGAGAGGGAGACAAACTGTGAGAGACTCTGGGCCCTGGGAAACAACCTAAGGGTTCCCGAAGAGTGTGTGGTCAAGGGAAGGGGTAAGCAGGGGATGGGTATGAAGGAGGGCATGTATGGTGATGGGCACTGGGTCTTATAAGCAACTAATGAATCACTGAACATTACATCAAAAACTAGTGATGTACTGTGTGTTAGCTACCTTAACATAATTAAAAAAAAAAACAAAAAACAAAAAACCAAGAAGCCAGTTAATGGCAAACAGCCCAGCCTCAAAAGGTATTGCTCACTTGGAGAACTAAAGCAAAAAACCTCAGCAATGTGTCTCAGGGAGGAATGGATCATCTTCACACCTGGCATTGTTGCCTCGAGATGGAAGTGATCGACAGCTCCTTTGGCCACCCAGGTGAGGAAGGAGAAGCCTCAGCATTGGCTGTTCTTACAAAACACTCACTGAGCTTGTCCGGACACCATTGCTTACGGGATCAACACATGAAGATTCCTATTGGAAGAATCTAGGTTTTTGTTTTGTTTTGTGATGGGGTAGGAAAATTAACTATTCATTGTTGTTTCCTTTAACACTACTCTACAGAAGGACAGTTCTGTAAGATTTCTGAAAAATTCCCACCAACAGTGGGGGGGGGTGACTAAAATGTAATATTGTGAAATGATAGAATATTATGAGGCCCTCAACATATTTTCATAAAGTGCCCATGACATAATCATCAATGGAAATAATGGGATGAAAAATGTGTAGGTACTATGATTGATTGTGCAATTTAAAAATGAAGGGTGTTGGACACACATTATACAGTTTCTATAATTATTATAAATTTTCACTTTTAAACTCAGGAAAAAAATGTATAAACAGTGAAGAGCTTTGTCATTTTGGATTTTCAATAATAAAACAGAACCTTTATATCTGCGATCAACACGCTTTTTCTGTAAAGCCTGGAATGACAATATTTTAGGCTTTGCAGGCCACCTCTGTTGCTGTCACATGTTGTCTTTAGTTCTTGTTTTGTTTCTACAACCCTTCAAAGTATCTAAGACCCATTCTTAGCTCACAAGCTTTACAAAAACAGGCTGTGGGCTGGATTTGGCCCCTGGGCTGTACTTTGCTGGCGCCTGCTTTGAATAACTTTGTCGCCTCTGGATGCTTCCCCTATTTTAATATGAAGAATTTGTGATAGATTCCCACATTTCATATTGATAATACACACTTCCCCCAAAGCTGCCTTAGAATGGTTATACTGATTCAAACCCGTCCTTATTTGGAATTAGTTTGAACAGAGAACTGAAATAGAAATGTATATTTCATATGATCCGTGAGAGCCGTGCTTTCCAATATGGTAGCCACTAGCCCCACGTGGCTAATCAGAGTAACGTTAATTAACATTAAATTAGATAAAAAAGGCAGTGCCTCTGTCCCAGGAGCCCACATACTGGACAGCGCAGATACGGAACATTTTATCTTAGACAGTTCTCTAGGACAACGATGTCACAGAATAAAACAAAATAACCCTCTGGAACTCAACTGTGGTCAAGTTTTGGATTGCCAATGTTCCTCCAGAAAACACCATTGGTAGAGAAGGTAGGGAAGAGAGACAAGGGAATGACAAGGATATTTAGGGTCAAACGAAGCCAGAAAGGCAGTCCATCTTTGAATAACTTCCCAGGTTCAAAAACCAAATCTACCATATCGTGGCTGTGGGATCCTGGGTTACACTCCTCCTCAGTACCCCCTCCATTCCTCTGCTGTAAAGCAAACATTATAATACCTACCTGGTGCAGATTTTGAGGATGAAACAAGGTTGAGCATGTGGAAATGCATACTAGCCTCCTAATTCTACGAGCTACGTGCACACACATTTATACCGCCCAAAGGAGGCAACGGCCATACATTTAGAAAGAACAACTTCTTGCCAGTATGGCTGGATGCTGGCTTCTCGGGGCACAGGAAGATACGCTGCACTGAATGCATGCCCAACCTGCTCCTGAAGGTGCTACGCTGGCTGGGAGGAACACCCGGGTACCCCCATAACCTGGCACCTTCAGAAACCCGCGGGACTCTCGGAGTCATGTTTTTGGTTTCTGGTGACTGCTTCTAACCTGTGCCCCCCAGCAAAGAGTTTGGTTTTTCTGAGCCTTTGGGAATTGAGACGCTTGATCTTGGCCCTCAGGGAGGATTCCCCTCTGTCTCTCATCCTCCTCCTCATCACATCCCCATTACTGCGGCTTTTCATCACCCCCCCACCCCTTCTCTAAGCTGGTCTCCAGCAGCCCTCCTTCCCTCATCCCCACACTCACTGCTGAGCACTGATCCCAATGAAGACCAGTTTCATAGTTATGGGGGATTTCATAGGGTCGTGTTTTACAGCCTAAGAAATAGCTAAGAAGTTTTCAGCGGTGGCTGGGGGTCTTTCTGAGGAGGGGCAACCCAGCTGGGGTACCATGATGGAATCCACGGGAACCCTAACTGTTCAGCCTGTTCTGGGAACTGGGGTCGGGGTGGGGCATTTTCCACCCCGGAGCATCCATCCCAGGCCGAGAAATCGTCGGTTTTTCCACGTCAACATTGTGATCTATCTTCCGTATTTATTTTTGGTTTTCTCCCCCTTGCACTTGATGACTATGTTCATATCTACCAAAGTGCCTTTTCCCGTTGTTCCTCTACCCAGTTAAACGGGGGAGAACCACATTCTTCTCTTGCCTCCTCCTCCTCCCTGAAATCACATAGCAAAGGGCAGAACAGGCTTGCAAACAAGTCGTTATTTTCCACCGTGAGAAAATGGTGCCCAAGCACCTTTTGTCACGTGAGGGGGCCACTTGCATGGCCGGTGTGTGTCCCATCAATTATTTTCATGTGAATCTGCAAGGCTGTGATAGAAGGCAGGCAGCGAGCTTTAGCTCCACACCCCTCCCCGCCATGCGCCAACCCCCAGACCGACGCCCCAGGTCCCATCCATTGGACCCGATCCTGCTGGGTCTTAACAAAGGATGACGGGGACACCTGGGAAGTGAGCGTTCAGACGTAATGAGCAAAGGGGTTCGATGCTAAGGTGACAGGGAAACACAGAGACATGCTTATGAGAACCAACCTCATCTGGCGGGGAGCCACAGGGAGGGTACAGCAGAGAGGGAGGGGAGGAGGAGAACTTACATGGCAGGGAAGGTGATTGGACTCAGATTTATGTCACAAAACAAAGAGAGAGCCACGACAGCGGGCTTACTTGCGGAAGTATATACAAGTGAACTGGGGGCACTGTACATGGAAGATCCCTCCTGGTTTGCCTGGCACAGCAGCACCGTGCCTACGAAAGAGAGAGAGATAGCTGGTATCTGGTTTGGGAACAGGCACGCTACACCTGAGAGATCGCGGCAACGCAAACAAGAACGGCAGAGAAATGAAAACACAGCCACATCCCCGTGCATGTGGCGGGGACACCCGGGGCAACACCCTGCCTTAGCCGAAGGGAGTCGGGAGCCTGCCCTCCGGCCCCTCAAGCACGGGTCACACCTTGTCACCTGGGGTTCCCGTAGTGGGAACTTGGCCACCCCCAGGACCCAGTTTCAGAACAGTGACGGTGGCAGCACGGCATACGCCAAAGGGGTCTTGAGAAATACCGGCGAGAACTAGATGACAAGCCTGGCTCGAAGCCACTTAGCTGTGTGATCTTGGTAAGTCACTGTACCTCTCTGTGCCTCGGGAGTCCCATCCGGAAAATGGGGCGAATATACCTACCTCCAGGGGGGGCTGGGGATCGTATGGCTAGAGATGTGCCTGGGGCAGGGGCTGGCACGTAATCATCACTCAGTGAAGGGGAAGCATGTGAACTGCTATGTTGAGAGAAAACTTCTCCTCCCCTGCCGCCCCGCCCTCCCCCTTTACACTGTCTGAATCAGTCCTCAGGGGAAGAACACAAGTGCAGTGGGGAAATGAATGCAACTTTCACCCTCCATGTGACCCACCCTGGACCCACACTGGGCTTAGCGTGAGACCATCTTTGGCTTCTGTGTATCTCGTTTCTTCCGGAAAGCTCTCGGCTTTCTAGCTGGAGAGGCTGCCTCACCAAGCGAGTCTGCACTGCAGATCTGGCTGTCCTCTGCCTGATTTAAAGCAAAGGGCACCGGGCTTATCCTGGCACAACGGAATTTTACAGCGGAGAGGAGCGGTGGAATCCTGAGATATGCCCTCAGTCTGTGATGTGTTTTGAACCACCGCCCACTCCAAGGGTGAGCAGGGTCAGGAATCCGCAGGGTATCAATCCTCTCTCCCACAAAGCTCACACTCAGACTTTGAAAAGCCTGAGAGAGACTTCTGAGGAGTTGTCAGCCCATTACTGATGATGGAACTGTGTTCCCTGTGGCTTCCGTTCACTTGTTTCCATTTGGTTTTGGGTTTTGGAGTCTCCGGCCGTCACCAAAACTGGAAAGCTCCCCCCGTGAGAAGAAGCCTGCCCGCATCATTGGAGACCTCACCCACATCTTCGGAGCTCACACACACCTCTGGAGACCTGCTCTAGGGCTTGCTAAGGGGTTCTACAGCCCTGTAGGAGCTTTCCCAAGGTCAACAGAAGCTTAGCAGGAACTTGCAGAGTGAGTGGGGGTTGTGCCACACAGAGAGGGATTGCCACGTGAACTATGAAAAGATAGCCATCTCTCCTGAACTAAGAAACCACAGTTCCAGAGGTGGTCTCCATGACTGCCACGCCCCCTCCTTCAGGACCAAGCCAGAATAGATGGGCCCTATGAGGGGGGCTGAGAAGGTTTCTGCAGATTCCTTTTCTACCCTCTGCTCCCTGTGTTTCCCTGGATTTTGTACATTATTTCCAGGTAAAGCAAAGATGCATGAAAATCCCTAAGTGGCCCCTCCATCACCAACTCAGCCACCCCCATCCATTCTTTGACACGGAGAAGCAGCCCATGGACAGAAGTTCTATCTGAAGGAATGTCCCCTGGTCCTTCTGACATTTACCCTGGTATCTTGCATTTCTAGCTGGAGAAGAGCCCCCACAAAAGCGTGGATATAAGAGTAAAACTGACTGACCTTCCCTTGGTGGTAAATGTATTCAGAGTCTGGCTGGGTCTGAGTCACAATCAGCCTTTGCTACATGGATGTTTCTTTCTTCTATTTTATTTAAAAAGTTTATCCCAACATATAAGATGGGACTTTACATGGTTTAATTTCTTCTTGGTAAGTATTTCCTGTTTTGGCAAGAAACTGGCATAGCTTGGTAATTAATAGCAAAGAAATGGAACACCAGCCCATGGGGGTGTGGGGTCTGAAATCAACCAACAGGAGTGGCACACCCACCCCATGGACATGCCCCAACACCCACCCTGCTTATCAACAAGTATTTCGCCTGACTTTGCAAAGGCCATTCATCCCCAGGTTCTCGCTCACTGCCACCACCTTAGACAGAAATGAACGTTTCTATAGGATACATAGAAAGCGTCAAATCAGCATCTTCTAGGGTGGGACCCGTGAGAAAACTCAGTGGGTCTCTCACGTCCACCCCTGGATCGAAACCACTTTTAAAATGAAATCTGAAGTTTCTTGGGGGGTACCTTGGTTTCAAAAGAAAAATGGCATAGTTGTAGCAAAAATATATCCAGAAGGACATTTCAGTATTGTACAGTTAAAACCTTAGGGTCAATTTTCAACACTCTCAGTGCAATTTAGAGAATCCCATTGGGACACAACACAGATTCCCTCTAGGAAGCTAAATCCTGGCAGGTCATAATGAAGCTTTCCTAATGCTCTTACGCTGTAGATCCTGAGAAACTGCGTTGAAATAACTTCTTTGGAAGCCCTCTTGGTAGTGGGAAAAAAAATTCTTTATGCAATAATTCTGACCTTTGTAAAACAAAATCTATACTGTCACAGGACTTTTTATTTTACCTAAAAAACATTCTCTAATTTAATTTGCAAAGTACTTATTGTATGTTATCTTAGTACTTTGTGACCTTTCCTTAAGAGAAAGCTTTGAATTAAACAGAAACAAAGAGGCAGAGGAGAACATTGTAACCTCCAAGCATTTTTTGGGCAGGGGCGAGTCATGTGTGTTTGTTTAAAGAAGTCAGTCAAATAGATAATAGGGTAGGAACAGCAGCATAAGGAGCATTTAGAAGGTCATTCAAGGCACCTTGTGATGCAGCTTTCTAATGAGTCCCTTGCATTGTGTTTTCTATCCACACCCCACCCCCCAACATAGAGCATTTGCCTCCAGCTAGCATGAACTGTCCGCCACTATGGTGGCATTCTATACTTCTCAGACTTCTGTGCCTTTGCTAATAAAGCAATTTTACTCTAATATCCAGGATTTTGAGGGAAGATGGGGGAAGGGGGCTTTCCTCTTTATAATTTAAAGATGGCAACTGTGTTCAATTTATACCACTAGCCACCATTCCCTAGCCAGGACAGACCGGTCATTCATCAATTTCCAAGTGTCCTTTCCTTTTTATCCTGGAATCCTCAGAAGCATTCTTAACACAGCTTCTAAGCAGTTGCTACTCTTTGATTAGAGTTGGTGGACAGGAAGAAACCTCCCTGCCATTCCTGTGCCTACTGTTAGGTTAAACCATAAAATTGACCTTTTTATGTCAAATAGGATTGAATATTGGAAATTTCAAGGGATTTAATTTTAAAGAAAGGCCCCGCTGCAATGTATACTGTGTCTTTTAGAAGTTGCCTCTTTTCCCAGTCCCTAGGAGCTAATGGATCACCTCCCCCGTCATGTGCCCATCACACTTAAAAAAAAAAAAAAAAAAAATCCCGAGGCTTACCCGGGTGGCTCAGTCAGTTAAGCCTCTAACTCTCAATCCTGGCTCAGGTTGATCTCAGAGTCATGAGTTCAAGCCCAGCGCTGAGTGCCACACTGGGCATGGAGCCGACTTAAAAAAAAAAAAAAAAAAAATCTCCCTAGCAGATCCTTTGTCACACTCTACTGCAACTTTTCATTTATGTTGCCACAATGAGCCCCTCTTGAGTCCGAGCCAAACCAGACTCATCTATTCCCAGCCCCTAACAAAATACCTCTCGGAAGGTTTTACAAATACAATCGAGTAATTATGTTTTTAAAGATCTCTTCCTTTCTGTTTTCTTAGCTAAAAATAGTGCTTTGCCCAGCCAATTGTTCTCGAGGGTGCTTTCTTCTGCCCCTTCTTGATTGCTGGGGGTGTGCATGCCTAAAGTCCGGTTACGAGCCCTCTCTATGGGATTCACTTGCTTCCTCCTCCTCCTCTCTGGTGCTTTTTAAGGTTGACTCACGCAGCTCCACATGGAATCTGAGTAGCTCGTACCCGTGCCTGGTAAGAGCTGCCTCCACGTGGCACACTGCATTTCAGAATAATCAGAGCCTTTGCAAAGTGTGTCACGCCTTCATCAGCATCCCAAATTCCGGCACGATATCCACGGGGCCATTCCCGGGAAGGATCGGGAATCTTCCAGCTGTGAGAGGGTGAACCCAGGTCCATGTGCAGATGGGGCAACCCAACCCTTTCTTCTTAACTGGAGACTCCCCACAGTTCTGGGGATCATTCCTGGCCCCTTGAGGGGCAGGGAGAAGCCTCAAAGGGGTGATTCCTATCACAGACAGAGGAGAGGAAGCATCCAAAATTGTACTCTGCTGCCAACTCTTAGGTGAGGAAATCAGACTCAAACCAACTGGAACAACGGTGCATTTGCACACCTGTGCCTTTATGAAGGGTAATTCTTCTCCCTGGAACCTCCTCCCCTCCCAACCCAGATAATTCCCTTCTGGACTCAGCTACAGCTTCTTCTTCTAGAAACCAGATCTTTTAGCCTCCACCTGCCAAATTCAGCTTCTTTCCTCTGCTTTTCTAAATTGTGTTGTGTGATAATCTATTGAATGAGTGTCTTCCCATGGATGAGATGAACTCCGAGAGGGGTTTATCCAAGAGGAGTTCCACCCCATGGGGCCAGGGACCTCGGCTGAGAGGCAGGGGGGCCTGACAAGAGGAACCGGAGGGTTTTGGACAAGCAGCCATGTTGCACTTGCAAGAAATAAAATTAGAATACAAGAGGGAAAGGAAGAAGAGAGAGGCTCTTTTGAATGTCTGCCCTTCCATTTAGTACCAAAGAGGCAGATCTCCAGGCCAGCCCAGGGTGAATGACTTTGCCCATCCTGTATTTTCTGAATTACACACACACACACACACACACACACACACACACACCAAAGAAAAGAAAAAAAAAGAAGGAACAAAACATGTCAAAGAAACACCCCAACTGCCTAGCAACTGGGAGTGGCTGACTCACTTCATTAGTTTCAAGATGAAGATGAGTTAG